CAGGAATCAATGATCTGAAATGTTCAAGTGGGTCCCAGGCAGGGATTTATTTATGAAAGCGACTATATAATAGTCACATTTTTCAACATGAATAAGGACTGTTGAGCTGTTGCTCCCATATCCTGCTAGAGATGCGATTCATCAGGGCCAATAAGGGCCAGTGATTTGTCCTCAGTCTTTTGTCTGATGGAAAAAACTGATGAACACCAAAGGAAACTACCACCCAGTTAATAGCACTGCATTTCTGTGAATGAATGCACCGAGTTGAAAAACATGTATCAAAAAAAAAAAGAAGCGCTGAAAGCAGACTGCAATATATACACTCGCAAAGCAGAAATAAAATAATATACAAACCAAAGAATACTCAATGCTCTTATCTGCTACAGTTTCAATTTCTGTTTGGCAATCAGAGAAAAGAGCAGGGAGCTTGGCTAATTGTGGCCAGTGGATGTAAGAATCTAATGATTTTCCAGTCAATATTATCTGAATTCTTTGCACAAGCCCAGTCACATTTATACATGCTGTTTGGAAGTCTCAGTTACTGCAAGTTTAACACAGTTTTTTCTACGCTCCACTGACAAGTACAGTTCCTGGAGTGAAAAATCTCATGACATCCACCATTCTGGCTGCCCTGTCATCTTACCCTGGACAATAGAGACACTGTTCTCCAATTTTTTGCGGTTTGGTGGGCACTTGTGCACCAACAAGGGAGAACATATCCACACACAATTACAGTACACACTCTCCATGTAGAGGGCGCTGGCCGCTGAATACAAATATCCAACTGTAAGTCAAAAAACAGCTGAAACAATGAAAGGAGAACAATACCTGATAGATAATGGAAGGGTTATTGTAGACAGAAATGAGCAGAGATCTTTACAGGGTCCCAAACCTGCTTTATTAGCACTTGTATTTATCAGTGTCTTTCCCCAAGCTTAGCATCAGGTATCGAAGCTCTCCATAACCGAATCTTTCAAATCTTTTGCCATATTTATTATTCTTGCTACCTAATTTCAGGCACATTAGGTGTTTTTCACAGGATTCTGCACTGATAAAATGAGTCCAGGGTCTGGTGGGAATTTGTGAAAATATATGAAAATGTCAAAAAGCAGAAGAAAAAGTGCTGATCATAATTTTATCTTGAGCCCGAGGCAACAAATTCAGATTGCGTTTATAATTTACAAAAATATAAAACAGAGAAAACCTGTAAATCATCAAAATGAGGAGCTGTAAAAAAGAGCTGTTACAGATTTCCTCTCTTTGTTTTAAGTCTTTAATTTGCAGAGCGCTCGTTGCCCCAAGAGAAATTGAATGCACACCCAAGATGGTTCGCTTGTAAAAAAGTAATTTAAAAAAAATCACCTGTGTAAATCCATTGACAGGCGTGTAACCCATCTTTTGCAAATGATATTCTTGTACTAAAATGATGAATAACTTAAATTCCCAGTCTGCAGACGTGATTGTTAGTTTACTGATTATTTGTTTACAGCCACACTTCTGGCTGATTGTATTTTCACTCCATTCGTGACCAGACATAATGCATTTTTTACGTGTTTTCTGCTTTGACGCAAATGTTCTGGTTTGAGCAAGGCACTCTCACAACTGTACTTAGATGGCAGTGGAAGTTTAGATATTTGAAATGAAATAAAATCGCAGTCTTCTGGTCCTACTGCACATTTTAAAGAGGTCAGTATTGAGTTGTGTGTGAAGTGTACCCATGAAACACTCTGCATTCTCTTACAATATTACATATCTACCTCAAAGCCAGGATTTGATCTACCGCTCCTTTTAAGTGTCAAACCATGTTTGTGAGTGGAGACACTGAACGGCAGACACACCTGCAGTAAACGTAAACTGACTCTGTTAAGCCTTGAAGAACAAGTTTGACAGACGGGGGGAATTTATTCAACAGCTGACCTTTTCTATTCACCACTGTGATCTTAAAACTGGGCAACTTGTACTTGGACTCAAACTGACTGACACACAAATTACTCAAAGGTCATGTTATTCAGCTTTTCAAATGGAGTCCATACCACTGATAGCATCACTGAAAAAGAGAGAGAAAGAACCGCACAGATGATGGCAACATCACTTTAGCTGTTTCTATGTGTTTTTGGCTCCTGTGAGCTTTTGGTACAGAACAAGATCAGGTCACTGTAAAAAAAATTTATTTGAGTGTTTTCTCAGAATTTTGACTTCTTTAAAAGTCAACTTTAAAGTCAGAATGCTGACAAAAAAGTCAGAGCTCAAATATATTTTTCACAGTGGCTCCAATCTTCTTCCATAGTTTGGTTTGTCCTCATGTAGTTTAAATAAAGGTGGTACAGTAGAAAGCCACAGGATTAAAATTAATAGAGAATCTACACACTGTTCTGGCAGCAGATTGCTTACTTGTTTGTCAGGTGCATGTGCGTGGCAATTCCTCATTGTTGAACCAAGCTAATTTGTGTGTGTGTGTGTGTGTGTGTGTGTGCGTGCCTTTGCACCATGTCAGGGGGAGTAGCCTGTTGCGGTTACGGAGTGTGCAGTGTGGGGTGATGACTAGAGTGCTTTTGTGCTCAGTCTCTCAACTGTCTGCAAATCAGTGAAGAAGAGAAAAGTGAGAAAAGGGGGGATAAGGTGAGGGAGATAAAGAGAAGGAAAAGAGGAGGCAAGATAAAGTAGGGGAGAGGAGATGAGAGAGACAGTGTGGGGAGTACAGGTGAGACTCAGGGGGTGGGAGGTGAGAGAACGGGAGGACAAATGAGGAAGAGGAGGGGAATGCGAGAAAGGAAAGGGGAGAGAATCAACTTGTGCACCATTGTCTCTTCAGACAACAAAGGGACAAAGGAGGCAGCTAATGTAGGAAATAATTAATATACACCAGTGGAAAAAGTAAACAAACATCCCAGATATAAATAAATATATAGAAAAAGAAAAGTGCCCCAGTTTCTATTTTTTTATAATTTGTAATTACTCTGCAGAACACAAACCTGACCTCATGGCCTCAGCCTTCACACATGATGGGGTTTGGAAATGAGCCAATCATATTGACGGATGCTGACGGGTTCACCTAAAGCTGTTGGTGCTGTTGCGGCCACTTTAATACATAATGGATTGCAAGAAGCATTCAGCTGTACCACCTTCTAATAAAAATAATGTATAACACATTTGAAATGACACACTGTTATAATAGAGACCAAGGTGGGAGCATAAGAAGCTCAGCTGAGATGCAAATCTTGATATATATGATATTTGAGAGACTTTAAGCCCAAAAAAACATTAAATAAGTTTTAACTACACATTAGGAGGAAAGCACCCAGGACAGAAATGTATGCAGCCATGTTGCTTATTGATTCATTTTCAAGCAAAAATGACACACATCATCTGGTTCCAACTCCTCCGTCAGAAGCATTTGCTGCATATAGTAAACTGAAGTTTTAGGTTTCAGACTTGGGTTTAGGGGAAAAGTCATAAATCCATGGTTCTTTTATTATTTTCAGACATTTTATAAAGCAAACAGTGAATCAACTATTCATGAAAATAACCTGATAATTAAAGACAATCCATAGTTTCTGTTATCAAATGTTTGGTCAGATCCTGTTTACTCGTCAGATCCTGTTGTTTCTTATTTTTATTTTATGTGTATTTATTTGGTTTGTTTGTTTTAACTAATCCTACTGTGGACAGATAAATACTTTCTGTCTACCCACACTGGGCATCCTCTGAGGCCATCGCAGCATAGTTTTTTCATGATAAAACAGCAGCAAGTGGCAGAGGGCTGAAGGAGTGGGCGATCAGGACACAAACAGTTTTTCTCCACAAACAGCAGGATGAGATGTGGAGCTGGCAGAGACAGGGCACCCACCTTGATGACAGCCAAAACAACATGTGTCCTGAGTCACAGACCCTCCACACGCTCACACTACCTCTTTTTGTCAGTGTCTCTAGCTACTAGTATATCAGAGAAATAAATAAACTGTTCCAGCTGTACATGAGTAAGTTACTTTGCATTATAACAACAACAACAACAAATATCTTGTGCTTTCATTTGAAAGATCAGGATTATGTTGTTCAAGTCCCTTAGGGACAGTAAAGGCTTCAGTGATTACACTCAAAGAGCAAACAGCAAACAACAGTAAAACAGTGCTGATGAAGCCAGGTGATGTTATGAGAAGGAAGACCTCATTAGCCTCCATCATCACACTTTATCAGAGGACAGGGAGTGTGCCTGCTCTGTGAGCGTAATGGGCTGGAAGCATGAACAAAAGCAGATGGCTTTATGAGTCATACGATAAGGAGCTCAAAATTCAAAATATATCGTTCATTTCAGTGTACACAGTCAAGTCACTTTTCTCTTGGCTTTATCTCAAAGGAAATGCATTATCAAGGCACAGAGGAGCTGCCATCATTCAACAAAATCAGCTAGATTTCAATTAGTTGTCTCACTACTGGGAGCAATTCATTAAGGCTGAAAGAGAGCTGAAGTACAGTAAAGCTGTGCTGACTGATAAAAGGCTAATAACAGGATCATTTGTGCAGTGATAAATGACATTCCCAATATTCCTATTATATTGTCCATCCTAGTATCCATATGTTAATTTGCTCCTCACAGTAATAGACTATGTTATGGTGTGGTTAATGTTTTTACAGAGCATCTTAATCAAAAGTGAGTTTACTGTCATTTTATCATAGCATTTCTAAGTCTTTATGGGGAGCTTATCTTGTGTCTAACTGCACTTTTGGTTTTAAAAGAGTGTGTTATCTGTCTAAACAGTAACAAAACTACATAGAGCATAACTTTCTACAACGCGTAAAAGTTAAAGGAATCTGAAAACAAAACAGGAATATGATATAGTCTGCAGCTACAAGCACACATCATCTATATGTTACCAATATCTCAGTATATAAGTACATTTATTTCAAAATTCACAGAGAAACGTGGCCACTGTTTGCGCTGCTCTGGTCTGTCCCCTTATTTCTCCTCCGCCGCGCTAGAGAGCAAGTGCAACAGTACTCACCCCCAGTTTCTTACTCCGTATCCTCACGTATCCTTGTTTGACTATGTCGTTGAAGTTGGAAGCCATGGTAGCTTCCTGCCCGAGGGTGTAAAATTAGATGAAGTAACCTCTATTTGAAATCGCGTTTTTGTTTGTTTGCTTTTACATTAGACTCGCTCGCTCCAACATCCAGCAGGAGGAGAGCGAGCCCTGGGCAACCTGCTCCAATGTCAGCGCTCAGGCTGGCCGGCTTCAGCAGCGCGATCCATCCGAGAGAGGAGGGAGATACCATTCATCAGCTGATTCACTCCAGTCCGAGAGGAGAGCAGAGGAGAGTTGCGCTTCCTGGAACACACCACTACAGAGTGTGGGTGGGTGGGTTATATCTGCGGAGGGGGGTGTCGTTAAATCAAGGGGCTACCAGATATTTCTCCAAATCAAAGGCGCACCACTTAAAAATGCCTTTCTTCTTTTCTCTCTTTATTGTATTTTAACATTGTCAAAAGGCTACTATTAATGAGCTGATGACAGTGACCCATTTCCCAAGGCACTTGATTGAAAACTATCTGAACCGGATGCTATTACATCATGCTGACTGCAGATATGAGGTGCTGTGGCTGCATTGATTAAAATGAGGCCAAGAAGTGCATAACTTCTAAAATATATTCATGCAATTGGACACTGAAATTAATTAGATAATGTGATGCTATTCTACATGAACTCTAAACTAGGTCATTGACTATTACACAAATATTACAAGTTACATATCAGATGTGTCGAGCCAGGAGATGTATCCTTTGTGAGTTGAAATAAAGTATTTTAGGAGCCAGTACAGTCCAGTGTCTTGTAAGGGGGATGGGGGGGCCCATCTGAGTGAATGCAGGTTCAGTCCAGTCACATTGCTTACACAGTGCATCTGTGTTAACTCACAAGTTCACCATCAGAAAACCCAGTTTACCCAGACACAAAAACTGCCAAAGGTCGGAGTAGTGCCGGTAGCCCTGCCCAACATCTTACCAAAGATGCACCAGGAAAATGACCCCCAACATCTGTTGAACCTATAGTACCATCAAACTAATGTAAAATGCTTCTTTATTATAAAAGCTGCTTTATTACACAAACAACTGATCCTGTGCTGAGAAAGAGGGCTTTGTTCGCTGCTACATAGATGGCTGCCACTTTGAGATGTGCTGTTCTGTCAAGTGTCAGTTATTGAATCTAGAAAACTCAGTGGCTGTATTTTCTGTTGTGCTCATATGAGTCACAAGGGCACACAAAATACCCCTCCAACAAACAGCTTGACATTGATTGTTTTCATGTCTCCCTGGAAGTGTCCTCAAATTTCAGACTTGTCAAAGTTGTTTTGTCTTCATAATCCTCGCTGAGCAACATGGCCCCATTCATCCTCTGACAGCAACGATGTTTTTTATTGCACTCTAGTGACTGCCAAGAACTGTCCTAGTTTTGGGGAAGTAATTGCCTGCCATGATACAACCATTTTAGCCTCGTTTGGTCTCAGGTAGGCTGCTACACAAACCAACATATGGCCCTAACATACATGAATGGCTGCCAAGTAGGTCAGAAGTGACCTTGGCAGCTGTTCTCTGCTCAAGAGCAAAAAGACCTCCACCAAGGTCACTAGGAAATTATCTGTAGAAAACAACTCTTGTCCAATATGGCAACTCCTCAGGTACTGACCTCATTTTCATAGATGTTCACATAGATGACCACATATCCCTTTGCATCTATGATTAAGGCTGTGCTACTCGCAGAAAAACTGTGCCATTTATTAAAACACTAAATATTCCTAAAAAAACCTACCCTGATTGTTTATTTAGTCACAGCCAAGCCAAATGCAAAGTTTAAATTGTTTGATGGTCTGGTAAAATATTAAACTTGCATTAGCATTAGATGCTTAGGTTTTGTCAGTGCTATTTGGCAAACACTCACAACACAAAAAACTAAATAATGAACACACTCTAAATAGATAAGAAGGTGTGAATGAGTACAAAGGGGGGAGAGAGATGCCAGGTAAGCACTTTTACCTGTGGGTGTGTGAGTGGAAATAAAGATCACATAAGCAGAGTTATGGTAATGTTCTACTCCGGGTTCCTGTACTCCAGCTTTTTACAGCAACCCATATCAGCCTGATATGTTAATAGGCACAGTGGGATTTGGGTTTGATTAAATGACAATGCCTGCAGTCTGGAAAAAGAAAACATTTCTCAGAAGAGATGTATGCTGCTTTGCGCTCAGTGGGTCTTTGGCCATGCAAGGAGGACACCGGTTAGTCACACAGTATAGGACACTTAAGGTCGTGTGTATTCCCAGAGGGTCGAGCCATGACATGTTTGTGATTTACTCCATAACCGTTAGGAGTAGAAATGGTTCTAGGGCCTCTTTGTCCTTCTGTAAAGGGTGAGTCGTGAGAGTGGGAAATTCAAGAGGGTCCTTTACTTGAGTCACAGATGAATGTAGTGTGTAAGCCGCCTGCTTGTGCAAATTAATTTCCAAGGTAATCCGTCATATACACCTTTCATGATTGTCTGCTTTAAATTCTACCGATCTATAATGAGGTGATATGATTTATTCAGAGAAGATTTGTAATTGCACAAGTCAAAACGTGAAATAAGGAAAGTGAGTGAAAGGGAAAACAGAAAAGACGTGGACACATGAGGGGGAAATATAAAATTTGGAAGAAGAGAGTCAAGAATCTTTATTCTCCTTTCTAAAATCAGGAACATTTATTTGTTACTAAATGCTTATGTACACTGTTATTTTGGATAGACAGTATCTGGGATCCCTTTTTGGACTTGAGAGAGCTGCTTTGCTTTTCTATACTTTCCTGTCTTTGACTCCGATTGTGCCGCCAAAATGAACCCAAGGTGTTGTAACATTTCAAAAGGCAATATCTTTTTTTTTTTTTTTCTAGTTGTTGAAATGAAACATGATTACGTGCTTAGCAGTCTTGAATAGCATTCTATGTTCTAAGATGTTTAAAGTGTGTTAAAATGTTATCCTTTTACATAATTCAGTGAAATGAAACTGTGATGTTTTGTTACAGGAAATGTATTTTTGTTACAAGGTATATGGAAAAAAAAAAAGGATTGTCAGCCAGTGGCAATAGTTCTAATTTAATTCCTGTTGTGCTTTGTATGCTCTTTTTCATTGTCATTTTATTGTACTCTGGTTTAAAAGAAGGTGCAATATCTTATTTCATTTTTGAAACAAAGATGGGTTCTCTAATATTTTGACAGACTTTTAACTTGTAGTTTTAAGATGTTCTCTTTTTTTTTTTTTTTCCAAATGAAAATGTCACGGATAATTTATTACATTGATCTAATGAAAGAATTTAGGGGGATGTTGCAAATAGCTTTTTTGCCTTTACTACCTTGTAAAACTGTGTATATATGGTCTCGTATTTGCTTTCTTTACCAGGTAGGATGTGTTCATAAACCAGGTCAGGTCAGACGTGATGTGGATGCCCAGGAACTTGATGTTATCCACTTGCTCCACCACCTCCCTGTGTATGAGAAGAGGAGCATATTTTGTCTTCCTGGACCTCCTATAATCCACAATGACCTCCTTAGTTTTGTTGGTGTTCAGGAGAAGATTGTTATCTGAACACCACCTTGTCAGGTGCTGGATCTCCTGTCTGTAGTGAGTCTCATTGTCTGAGATGAGACCCACTACAGTGGTGTCATCTGCAAATTTAACTACTGTGTTTGTGGGGTAAATGGCATCACAGTCATGGGTAAACGGAGTGAAGAGAACTGGGCTGAGCACACAGCCCTGTGGTGTGCCTGTGTTCAGGACCAGTGTGGATGATGTGCAGCTTCCGATTCTCACCACTTGAGGCCTGTTAGTGAGGAAGTCCTTAATCCAATGACATGTCATTGCAGGCATTCCCAGATTGTGCAGTTTCAGTGCAAGTTTGTCTGGGATTACAGTATTAAATGCCAAATTGAAGTCAACAAATAGCATCCTGACATACTGTAAGTGTTAGGATGCTCCAGGTGGGACAGAGCTGTGTGTAATGCTATTGAGACAGCAACCTCTGTTGATCAATTCTCTCTGTAGGCGAAATGATGGCTGTCCAGACCAAGAGGGATGACGTCCTTGATGTGCTTTAGAATGATCGTCTTAAAGCACTTCATAATTACTGGTGTCAGAGCAACAGGGCTGTAATCATTGAGGCAGGTGGCAGCTGATTTCTTGGGCACAAGCACAATGATGGAGGACTTGAGGCACACAGGGACTGAAGCAAGATGCAGGGACAGGTTAAAAATGTCCAAGAAACCTCCTGCCAGTTGGTCAGCACAAAGCTTCATAACCCAGCCTGACACCCTGTCTGTTCCCGCAGCTTTGTGTTGATCCTCAGGGTGGAGCTCACCTGAGGGAGTTGTACAGTTCCTCTGCTGCCAGGTGTATGGAAGCGTGCAAAAAAACTATTCAGAGTGTCAGGGAGGGTGGGATCATGGCTGACCTGCTGGTTGTTGCCTCTGTAGTCTGTTATTGTTTTGATGCCTCTCCACATACTCTGTGCCCCTCAATGTGCTGTTTGTACCTGTGTTTGGCCAGCCAGATGCCCTTCTTTAGTTCTTTCCGGGCCCTGCTGTAGGCCAGCCTGTCACCTGATCTGAAGGCAGTGTCCCGAGCTTTGAGCAGACGTGAGATCTGAAGGCAGCGTCCCGAGCTTTGAGCAGACGTGACACTGTACTGTCCAACCATGGTTTCTGGTTTGGAAAAACCCTAAGACAGACAAGAGCCTGGGCCTAATGAAAGAATCAGTCTCTCTCAGAGAAAGGCTATACCTACTGCTGTTTTGACCCAGTCTCTGTATCCTAAATTGGGGTCCATACCATGCCAGTGTGAGACTGAACCCTGGGTTGGATCTCTGGAGATTTAACTGTTCTGCTGCTGTGGCATGTCTCATAAAAATGACCAGGGGAGGCAGAATCCTCAGGGCTTGACACTCAGCTGCTTGTGGAAGACAGAGCAGTGAAATAGGTGCCTTGTTCCACTCCCACGAGGAAGATGAAATGTTTTCTTGATCTTTTTTTTCCCCCACACAACACAGACTACAAATTTAATTCATACACTGTGAAAATGAAGGAGTGACCTTTCTTGCATCACTGACCATCTAATTCATTTTAATAATTTTCTCATATAAATAAT